TATCAAGTACTGGAGAGCTGGATTCATTGGTTCTTTCTGCATAAGAATTATAGTTCAGATTCTCAGCACCCACATAAAATTCTGGGTTCAATGGTACCTGACTGCAATTTTAGCTCAAAGAAGTAGAGATGAGAGAATCCCTGGAGTGCAGTGACCATCCAGATAATAAAATATATCATGCTACACGATCAGTGAGAGACTTGTCTGAAGGAAAAAAATGGGGACTGTCTGGGGAAGCAACTGACCTCAATCTCTGCCCTTCTAATGCATGGGTACATATACAAAAACATATTCACATATACACAAACACAAATACCACCTCCAATATCAATAAGAACAAACATAGAAAGAAATGGATTTTGATAATGTAAAGGATCAGAGCACAGAATTAATATATGAACAGATTAAGGAAGGTTTTTTTTCCTACAACTATACCTTAGCCATATCCTCTGATTGTGGGCATCTGTAATTTTAATGAGTTTAGATAATTGAGCCTGTGATTAGAGTGAACTTCTATGGCCTTTTTGTACTGCCATCATACTATGGCCTATGTTTAGACAAATGTTTGGTTCTTGGAAACTAACTACATCCTGTATGTGAATGATACTTCCTTTTCCTGGAATGTCAATAGCTTAACTTCAAATAAAACTTCATGTGTTATGGAGATATATTTAAATTTTTATGCAGATGAAAGCAAACCAGGCCTACAGTTGTCTTGCACTCAAATGTTCCTGCAAAATATCAAATGTTCATCCCCAGAAATAACCTGACAATGGCTTTACCTCATTAGCATAGTACCCATGGCCAAGACTCAAATCCAAGCTTGTCTAGGACAAATGCCTATGTGAAAAGATAGGGCCACCAGGTGGAGAGGTCTCTGGGTCTCCCCTCCAGGGCAAGCAGATATTGAGAGAGCTGGCTGCAAGATGGTGGATCCCTACCATCAGGGATGGTCTGAGCAGATGGGGCACAGCTGCCCTGGTAAGAGCACAGATGGGAATCAGGTTTGGTACTTGGTACTGAAACCTCCCTGTGCAGATTTTCTACACAGAGACTCAGAGCTGGTTGCTGTGCCCTGGTCACTGAGAGTCATGGAAAATCCTTCTTTCCAGAGAATTTTTCATTAAAGTCTCCAGGGTATTCTGTCAGGTCCTATTTAGTGTTCCTCTAGAAACAGATCCTGATCCACCCCAGCTCTGCTTTTTTATACTGATACTCTACCTATTTTCCTGTCATGCTGTCCCTTGCAGTGATCTTCACTGGTGGATAGATCTGAGAGGCACTGCCTCTAGGCTTGTAATACCAAATGAGAAAGTGTATCTACAGCAAGGTTATTCCCAAATTGAAGACACCTCATAAGTACATGTGTTCCACTGTAATGTTATGGGGGCACTTGTTTGGGGTGTTGAAGTACCTGAGTATGCATGTAAAGTCAGTGGACAACCTTTGGTTATTGGTCTTTATTTCTACTTTGTCATGAAAGAGGGTTTGAAATTGCAGAGTTAGCTGGCCTAAAAACTTTTATAGATTCTTCCAATGGTTACAGCCATTCTGGGATTAGAAATGCTTGTGGCACTGCCTTTGGATTTTACCTAAGTTTAGAGAATTGTCAGCCATAAACTGCAAGGAATTCTGCCCCCTCCCCCCAATTATCTTAGATCCATCCAAATCATAGATTTTTTTTTATCTTGCTTGTGGGTGTTTGTTTATTTGTTCATTTTTGTGCTAATGTTCAAATTCCCTCCACAGAGATTTTTGAGGAAATTGATTTGAGTAAAATATTCTCCAGAAACCTGTCTCACAGGCTCTTACTGAATGTTCTTCCTAGCCTGAAACACAAGGGCTTGGTGATGGGTTTCTCTTTCTACCTGCTTTGACTCTCAACCTTGGTGCATCTCTCTTCCCACTATCTTCTTCTATTTTCTATAAAATATTTCTTTATCATCTGGGCAGATGTCTGTCCTCTCAAATTTTTGCCCAATGTGCTACACACTCTGCCTCTTATGTACTCTGTGAAACATTCCTAGACTTTTAATAGTAAAAGCTCATTCTTCCTTGCTTGTCATCACTGTATTACCCAGAGCTCTAAGTTTCCAACTCTTCACAGCAGTGCTTATTTTGTCTTTGTTGAGTATTATCATATATTACTTATATGTAATTAACTCATTACATTTTCATACATGTATAGTGTATTTTGATTGTATTCATTTCCATCACTCTTTTGCACTCTCTCCTGCTCCCTCCCACTCCTATTGATCCCTCCTCTTCCAACCAATATTCTTTTCCACTTTCTTTATCTTGGTTTTTAATAACCCAAAGGGTTCTATTAGTGTTGTTTACATGAGCATGATTCAGGAGTTACAGGTTCTGAAATAAACTTACTAATGGCTATTCTACTCAAGGAAATGCCCTGTATTCCAGCAACCCTTAACTGCATAGAAATCATGGTGGATTAAGGTATCTTAAGTTCTTCACACTGTATGACAGAGTATGGGTGGGTCAAACCTTGTGGATGTCTTGTGTGGGTAATCATAGCTCCTGTGAATTTAGGAGTCAGTCATGTTATCTCCAGAACCAGCCTAGGTGTCCACTTGCTAGGTTGTTAGTTTCTCTTTCTTCCCATTTGGCTTAAAATGAAAGCCTGGTATTCTAGCCCTTTTCCGCAATTATCTCTGCCTTTTAACTGTGGATCATTTCAAAATATAAAAATATACAATGTTAATATCTGCAGTTTCCCAACCCCAAGGCTGTTTGAAACTCACTGTCCACTTCATATGAGTGACTGGACGATTGACCTGGAGTGTCGGCACATACAACTATAGTCGTAGTTATAGTTTCTAGAGTCATCTTTAATTACACCCAGTGCTCCCACGGTGAGAGCAACAATATCAAACAACCAGAGCTCCCAGGGTCTAAACCACCAGCCTGGGAACACATATAGAGGGATCCATGCCCCAACTGTATAGGTAGGGGAGGATGACATTGTCAGGCATAGGTGGGTGAGGTAGTCCTTGGTCCAATGAAGGCTCGACGCCCCAGTGTGGGAGAAATTGTGGGTGGGGAGGTGGGAGTGGGTGCATGGGGGCATATCCTCATAGAAGCAGGAAGAGGGAGGATGGGATAGGAGTTTCCTGTGTGGGTAGGGTAATGGGGAAAGATGATTACATCTGAAATGTAAATAAAATATCCAATAGAAAAAAATTAAAAAAAAAGAAACTGGTGCAATGAGAAGTAAGGCTGTTTAGCATACAGCTAGGAAAACTGCTTGTAATCTGAATGATGAAAATGTATCAGTTCTATATTATTGTGGCCTGAACAGTAAATATGACACTTTTTTTCCCAGTGTGCAAAATAAGCTATACGCAATCAAGAGTCTGCATAAATGACAATATTTTTTAAAGGAAAATAGTATTCCTTCGTAATCAATTCTTAATGCAGTTTCCTCAGTATGATGGGCCAGTGTTGCAGAACAACTGAATGGGATCTGGGGCAAAGGAACAGGACAGGTTGCTTTGAATAAGTAACCTCTTTGTCCCTCAATTACATGAGAATTATCTTCTGATCATTTCTGATCCCTATAACAATGATACCAAACATGTATGAAAATCTTCACAGGTGATGAGTCAGAGGTCAGGGAAGGCAGGTGACTAAGACAGTGATTTATTGCAAACTTAAGAAAAACGTTTGGAATCCAGAAAGACAGTTGCACCAGTAAAGGAGCTTGCCACCAAGTCTGACCACATCAGCTATATTCTTGGGATCCAGGTAGTGGGTGGAGAGATTCAACTTGCACTAATTGTGTTTTGAAGTCCACATGTGAACATCGCCTCACAGACAGTCAACTAAATATATTAAAATTTCTACAGGTGGTATTCAATTAATTTGTGTCCTGACTGCAGTAGATAACTTTTACTGTCTTGCAATAAGGTTTACTTTGACCACTTCAGTAGTCTTACATGAAATTAGAAGTAAATGTGTGTGGAGAATGAGGCAATGTGGGGTATGGGAAAGGCTAGTAGGATACTGAAGTGGATATGCTCAAAGCGTGCTATATTATTAAATGAAACTCACCTGTATAGCTGTGATTATTAATTCTAATTGTCACTTTGATGGGATATAGATCCACACAGGAGGAAGCCTCCAGGAACACCAAGAGGGATGAAAGAAATTAAGGTTAGACTGAGAATATCTGTCAGGAATTTCCTTGAGTTCAATAGTTTATATATAAAGACTGTATGCATGATCCTCTGAGATGAAATATATCCTTTATTCTCTGAGTTAAATTTGTTGGGATATTTTATCACAGCAACAGGAAAAGAAACTAAGAAAGTAATCCTGTATAATAAAATAAATAATTTCCCAGAGCCAGTGAAGCTCACTGGTAGAGAGCTTACATAGGCTATATGAAGTTCTAGATTTGATAACTGGGACAATTAGTATAACAAAAGCCTGAAGAAACTTTCAATAACAAGAAAATACAAACCTTAGAAAAGGTAAAGTAATGATTAATGATTTCATACCTTAAGACTTAAGTTCTATCCTTGGAACCTGAACTTGGAGAAGAAAATAGGATCCACAGTACTGTCTCCTGACTTTCATAGATTCATCATGTTACATGCATTCCCATACTCCATCTTGCTGACACATAATAAAAAAAATACAATAACATCAGTGAAAGATACACTGTAGTTACCTAAAGCCAGCTGAATACTAATCATTAATGGAGGCACTTAATTGACATTTGTCCCCTCTGTCTGATGTTACATTTACTGGTATCATTGAGGTGTTTTAACAGTTACTGTTTGTTAGCTTGTTCTTCAACTATTCATCACCATACTAGTATTGCATTCCTTTATTTGTAACAGATCTCCTACATATTTAGTTTGTTCCATTTGTTTCTAAGACAAAACTATCAGAAATGGTTTAGGGAAAGAGACTGAGCTATAAGGCAGAAGAGAAAAATCATCCTCATGAAACAGCCCTCCCTGTTTCTTTTGCAGGCAGTGGTTTAAATGATGGCCTGTGGCATTCTGTCAGCATCAATGCCAGGAGAAATCGTGTTACTCTCACACTGGATAATGATGCTGCATCCCTGCCTCCAGACACCTCCTGGTTACAGATCTATTCTGGAAATAGTTACTACTTTGGAGGTAAGTTCACTATCCTTTGAGACTTCACATAAAGAGCAAGGAAATTATTCCACCATGTGTTCTGTCAATTAGACAACCTTCCCCTTAGCTGTGCATGTACACAAGCAGAAACATCCAAGCACCACACTGTAAGAAACCAAAGTCTTAGACAACTGTGGAAATGTAAGCTATCTAGGGCTGTTCTGAAGGCAGAAGGAACTAGAGCTATTAGACCAGTGTTACACACACACACACACACACACACACACACACACAAATTCCTGTAGCTATGTGAAGCTCCCTGGTTTCACACTGGGAAGGAGAAACTGAGCTAAAACATAGAGAAAAGGAGATGAGTGGCAGCAAGTACCTGCAGGAGGATAAAGTTGGAGGCACTGCAATGCTGCTTAGCCATTTAGGTTGCTCTACTGCCACTTCACATTGTGAATGTCATCTCCCTTTTCTATGTCTTGAAGATCATCTTCACCTATGGCAGGTGACAGAACAAAGCAGAGAGGAGCTAGCAGCACAAAGGGGGAAGGGAGAAGTCATTGACATTTCTGAGTAGTTACTCTTTATATTGCTTTCTGAACCCTTGCAGTGCTTGCAGTAACACAGACAAGAACAAACTATGGTGGACAAAACATATGTGACATTTATTGTTTTCATAAAGGCACCTATGCTGAGTATTTTAAAGATATCTTTTATTAAAAGGTACCTACTTCTGTAGTCAGTGATCTTACAGAGCCAAATCTAATGGGGACTTAGTTTCCATGGCTCTCTGACCATACGTTCTTAAAGATACAGGCCTTGGATTTCTTTTCTGAAAAATGGAGAGCAAGCTCACTTTCAAAATTACTGGGGGATATAAACAAGAGGAGAAAGCAGTCTTGGTGAATATTAGTGGGAGGGTTACTCAGCATGTAAAAAGCACTTGTCTCAGTACACCCAATCACATGCAGTCTTAACTCCCTCAGTGTTTTCCCCTTATACAGAAGTGAGGTTAATCTAGTCCTGTCCTAGGGCTGACAGTTTCTTCCCATGATGTAACCAAAGACAATCACTGCATATTAGCATTTACTGAAGACACAGCAAGATGATTATATGGGCAAAGATACTCGATGTTCATACCTTAAGACTTAAGTTCTATCCTTGGAACCTGAAGTTGGAGAAGAAAATAGGATCCACAGTACTGTCTCCTGATTTTCATAGATTCATAATGTTACATGCATTCCCATACTCCATCTTGCTGACACATAATAAGAAAAATACAATAACATCAGTGAAAGATACACTGTAGTTACCTAAAGCCAGCTGAATACTAATCATACATTCTGCATCATACTCTTCCACAAGCCCTGTAGTCTCTTAGCTCCTACATCCCTAAATCACCTGCTTCTTCCCAAGGAAATGTATGACAAGCTTGAAACACCAAGATATTTGCACAAGTACAGAATACATATTTAGAGTCTCTTTGGAAGGGAGCTGTGTGGAACAAGGTCATGACACTGGATTTTAGCATGAGGAAGGACCATATTTCTTTACCCACAGTTGTTGAAGTAATTATATAAAAATTGCCTCCACTCAAGCCGACTATCTAAGCTGCTGCGGCTCTGCTTAGCTCAGCCACCATGTTCAGTGACCAGAGGCATGTGTGTGCCGCAGCTAGGAATGGCCAGCCAGAAACACCAGCCCTGCCACTCATGAGACGCCAGCATGGAAGATGACTCTGCCAATCTTCCATGCTGTCTCCATAAGGTTGGGCATTGCCCAGACCATCCAGCTATCCATGTGGGCCCAGTAATAAAATGAAACCCTGATGCTTAAAGATGGACTTTATATGTTTGGTAATGCTCAATAACAGTATGTCCATACAGAGAGTTGTTTCTCAATTAGCTAACCTAAATAAAAGTTGTTACCCACGACTGCTGTGGCTCCATACCTGAGTGGCTCTCCATTGCTCCTACATCTCTGCTCTCTCTAGCTCTTCCTCTTCCTTTTCCTCTTCCTCTCCTTACTCCTCCCATCTTAGCTCCTCCTACACACAATGGCCATTATATACCAGTTGTAGCATATACTTAAGGCGATAATGTGTCTATATGATATATAATGAGGTTGCTCTTTGTTGAAATAAAATTATCTGTAGGTTGGAAAGATGGCTCAATCATAAAGCTCATGCTATGTAAGCATAAGGACTGGGGTTTGGACCCCTAGAACCTTTGGGAAACTACACTCTGTAGCACATGACTATAATAATGTTTATGCCACTCATGCCTGCAAACCTGGGATATTCAGTGGCAAATAGAAGACCCATCCTCAGACAAGGTAGAAAGCACCAACTCCTGCAGTTGTAATCTAATCCTGTAATTCTAATCTCCATTGGCTATGGTACTTGCACATCCTCACTCATATACATTGTCACTCCAAGATTAGTGAATTTATAATAATCTGTGAGGGGCTGTAGAGACTTATGGAGAATATGAAGTACATTCTAATCTGTGTTCACTGCAGCTCAATAGTGAAAGCAAAAGAATAATAACAAATACTGAGCATTGGTCTCAACTCCAAGATGTGTGTTTTACATTAAATACATTTTTTTCAGCAATGGAGAAAGAATGCTGGTCAAGAATTTATTTCTAGTTAAAATGGTTTTGAGTATTTGTGATACAATAATCTTCTGAAATATCACAGAGGCATAATGACTTTCCTCTCCCCAGCTAGAGTATTGCTAAATTCTAGATAGGTTTTTAGTGCTAGACTTAGAACATGAAGATGTATCTTCATTGATAAATTATGAACTACCTTTGAACAGTGTTTAAACAAAACATTCACTTACAGACTGTAAACTTAAAGAACATAAAAAATGAGCTTGAGCAACAATAGTCAACTTCCATAAATTCTCTGTACAATTTCAGTTAGAAGTTGCAGTATCTCTATTTTATAGTGTGCCTGTGAGCTCTTTACCAGCTGTCAAGATTCAGCCTTACAGTAACTGTCTATTAAAGATGGCAGAAATAATTTCCCTTTATTTATGACATGTTTCCATGTTTCCAAGATCACATTACCATATGCTCTAAACCTATTACAGCCACTGAGATAGAGTTTGTAAGACATACATACTCATCTACTGCTTGGCCCTCACGTGTTTTAATAAGTAGTGGATTGGCCTGGCTGTAGGTAATGATAACTGGTGCAATGCATTTATGCTTTTAATAGTGCACAGTTTAAGAGATGTGGTATTAACCTTTGTACGTGCTATTCTAGTCTATAAGTACATTCATTTAAGTGTACAGTTCTCTTAATGTGTGGCTTTGGTTTACTCAGTATGTCAAAAATCCTGCTTGTTTCCTGAGTGTATCATTCACAGTAGCTTATCCTGTTAATGTTCCACAATTCACCAGAAAATTACTGGGCTTCTATCCTTGCCAGTATGTAATTTCCTTAGAAAGTGTTTTCAGAATTACATTGTGAACTTAGACGTGTGTTTTAAGCCATATCAACATTTCTAAACACTTAGACTATGTGAAAAGTATGTGAAGGGTTACATCCAAAGGAAAAACAAGGAAATTTTCAGCAGGAAGTGTGTATGTATGCGTGTGTCTGAGTGTGTGTGTGTGTGTGTGTGTGTGTGTGTATGTGTGTGTGTGTAGCTAACTCAATTGGTAAAATTCTTGCCATGCAAGCATAAGAAGCTGAATTTGGAATCGCAGTACCTATATAAAGTACTGGGTATGGCAAGAAATACCTTGAGTTTCAGTGCTGACAAGGCTGACATAAACAGGCTCCTGAGGATTGCAGACAACCCACCCTATGCAAGTCACAAAATTCACCTGTGGGTGAGAAAGCAGTGTCACACAAATTAAAATGATTAGTGATGAGTGAAGGCAGAGTGCTGAAGCTCACAATAATCAGCAACTCTAGGTAAATTAGTGAACCTCTGGTTCACAAAGAGACCTTAAAGAATCAAATGGGAAGTAGCAGAGAAAGACATCCTGAGGTCAACCTCTGGTTTCTACATGTACCCCCATGAAACACCGTGTCTTCAGCTATACAATACACATATCCACAGAAACACAGACACACACACAGACACACACACACAGAGACACACACACACACACACACACACACACACACACAGAGAGAGGGGGAGGAGAGGGAGAGAGAGAGAGGAGATTAAGGAAAACTTTCTACCTAGGATATTTCATTTGGCACTTTTTCTCTATATAATGACTGAGTATTCCCATTTTGCATTAGTTTTGCACTTCTTCCTGAGCTGGTATTTACAAGAAAATATGCCCTACTATGAATAAAAATGTGTCAGTGTCCAAATAATTAGACCTCAAATTCTTCCATCAATAGGTTGCCACAGCAAGAAAATAATTTCAGTGTTCTTCATCTTTTCTCTCTATCCCACAGGGTGCCCTAGCAATCTCAACGATTCCCAATGCTTAAACCCCATTAAGGCTTTCCAAGGCTGCATGAGACTCATCTTTATTGATAACCAGCCCAAGGACCTCATTTCAGTTCAGCAAGGTTCCCTGGGGAGTTTTAGTGATTTACACATTGATCTGTGTAGCATCAAAGACAGGTAATTATTGTCTTGTCTCCTCTGTTCCTCCACCCCTTCCCATTCTCACTGTTATAAATATGAATTTATTTAAGCAAATTTCTAATCCACAGACATTAGCCACATTAGATATTATTGAGTTACCTAATGGAAAATATTGCTGAAAGATTTCAGGCCCAGAGAAAATTGTTTAAATTAGTTGAGTCTCTCTTCATTTTGACTTGCAGTAAATGGTATATGAAAATTAAATAAAAATACAAATTTGTGAAGATATTAAAATTTTATACATAAACAACATTTGACTATGTTGAAGTTAAGAGTATAGCATAAAGGAGGGAGGAACTGCTTTCCCTAAACCATTTCATTCTTTGCCTGCTGTGGTTGTCCTTCCTATAATGATGAAAGCTTCAGGTAAGCTACAGCTAAGGTTGTGGCTCTGGTCACTGCGAATGTTCTCAATTGGAGATGGCTGGTCCTAGCTGCCACCAACCCCACCTACTCTTTCTTTTGTTCCAAAGAGACCAGACAGTAGGCTAGTAAAAGCAGTATTATTATTCTACAACCCAGGAGTCCAACATAACACCCAGTTTCTAGTTGTATTTCTCTTGGAATTTGGCTCTTATTATGGTAGAAAGTTATATATTTTAAGTCAGAAAACCAAAGAGAATCTATGATGAATTTCAGCAATTTTTTGCTAGGTTCCTTCTACAGTAACTGTCTGTTCCATTCTTCTAACTGTGATTACGCTTTTACGATATGAATGAGCCAATGAATATATAGTACTTGCTAAATGCATACATTTGTGTTGGTGTTAGAGATCCTTAGCTATATTAATTAACCATTGTTATAAACTGAAATATACCCTGTTTTGTGAAACATGTGTTACCATAAGAACAGGTGGCACCAGTAAGTTCATACTAATGTGAAAATGAGGAATGAAATGGAGGAAGTTTGGGTAGGTGATGTTATTACATTTTAAAGGATGAGGCAAAATCATGCTTGACAAAAGTAAGAGTAAATGAGACCTGATGGGAGGTGATATAAAAAAAAAAAAGAAAGAAAAGAGAACAAGGAAACAGAACACAGCTTGTAAGTGCCCCAAAGTTAAAATGCTTTGATTTTGCCTTTAAAATCTTTAGTATTGGGATGCATTTCATATGTAAAAGCATATGTTAGTTTTTTGCCAATACATATTTCCTGAGAAGCCAGCAATTGAAGACAATTTCTGCAATCCACCATGTCTTAGATTCCATTGACATGTTATAGTTCTGATGATTTGCTGTAGTCCTGCTAATGGGTCATACAGGGAAGGCACATGACTTCCACACAGATGGAGACCTGGGATCATCACTAAGAGAAACGTTGTGAACCAAACTCTTATATTTTTGGTTGTGATCCAAGCCAAGAAATTAAAAAAAAAAATGGGACGGAGAAAGATATTGAGAGCTTTTGGGGCTGCTTGACAAGAATCTGAGATGGACCAAGGACAAGAAAATGGGCTCCAGGCAGGAATCTGATATTAGGCTAGAACAAAGAAGTAATTTCAGTCATGAATCTAAATCTTAGACTAGAACAAAGAAGCAATTTCAGGCAAGAACCCATATTTGAGAGTAGAACAAGGAAGTAGTCTTCAGACATGAAAATGACTTTGGACCAGGACAGGGAAGTTGGCTCAGATACTTTGGTCATCCTGATAAGCCCCTAGAAACAGTGATCATGGGAATGCACACGGAATTTTGTTTATTGGCTTGCTTGCTCTTCAACTATTTGTGTTTATTGTCTTGCTTGTTTCTTGACTATTTGCATCTATTTTATTGCTAGACCCTCAAAAGCAAAAAGGAGGAGGGGGCATGGCATGAGATAGGTGGTTTCTAGGGAAGGGAAATGGGAAAAGGGGATGACATCTGAAATGTAAATAAATAAAGTATCTAATAAAAAAAGAAAAAAAAAGAATAGAGACTTTGTGTTAGCAGATTTTGCTTTCAGTCTTTGCATAAAAACTAAGAAGGAATAGCAGCAGATTTGGATAGAAACTTGAGTTATAAAAACTGTTGGCACAGTTAGGGGAGTTATGGTGACAAGCGTCCCAGTCCAGGGAAGAAATGGAAAATATCAGGTGCCTTTACTGAGGAACATGAGAACATAAAAGTTGTTCATGCAGAACATGCTCTCAGCTAATGCTGTAATTTACTGATATAATTAGATTAAACATTAACACACTTTCTGATAATGTCATTGCACATGGGATTCCTAACACACCACAGTGATTTCTTGAACCATGTGCCTTTTTTTTTTTCCATTTGAGGAGCTGCGAAAGTGGGTAATAAAATGTGCTTCATTAAAATGTGCTAATGTAGAGTATCCAAAACAAAGCTATTCCAGGAAATGGAACCTGATATAATCTATATTTCTGGAAAGGCAGAATCTTCCAAAGTTACGATCGGGTGCAGCACTGTTTGTATTATAGATCAGTACTTGGACATTTATCATTTGGAATATCTTTGATATCTTAGTATACGTACAACCAAGGAAGCTCTCATTATTTTTTATTATGGTAAAGACATCTACATCTCCCCTATAGCATTACTTTTATGTAACTATAGTCTTGAGTAACTACATTACATACAATTGCATCTTGTTTAATTGTATATTAAGAAATGTGTTTCCTTTAGAGAGTAAGTGGTCTGGTTCACTTCAGTTGCAGTCATTTTCTCTAACAAAAAGGAAACCTGAGTTGAAAGACATGCTTGGTGTCAAGTGATCTAATTTACATTTGTTTGAATCTAGGAGGCAAGGCGAGGGGTTTACAAAGACAGGGTTTTCCCTTGAGTTTTATTTTCTTTTAATTTTGGTAAAAATGATAAATATCATGATGAAAGTGCACATGGTATAAACTAGTAGCAGCGATAGATGTGAGGAAGGGAAAATATGTGGAATGGATGATAAAATAAAGAAGCAACTGGTCACAGGTCAGGGAGTGAGAAAGAAGACTCAGTGCTTGGGGAAGTAGACACAGGGCATCCCTGGGGCTCCCTAGCCTCTCAGACAGGAAGCTCTAGTTAATGAGCAACTCCTGCATTGTTGCAGTTGTCATGTGGTGACCAGTGTGAATGCATTAGCCAGCCAGTATGAACTTGCCTGCTAGGGACAGCAGGGATTGTCTCTGGCTATGGTTTCCCTACCTATGTTCTTGGCTAACAGAACCATGGAAGCCAGAGTGTCTCCATTTGAACAGCAGATACTAAGACCACTATCCTTGCCTTCTATGTGCTTTTTCTCCTTTCATGGTGAACTGGGGCCCACCTCCATATTCTGGCATTTCTTTCCTTGTTTCTAACTATTCATCTTACATATTTAATTGTCTTAGTGCTGGTCATTTGGGAGTGATATCAAATATAAGAAGGCCAAGGCAGTTTTCAAGGAAAAGGCGCAAAGCTTCTAAAATCTTAAGTGACTTCTCAGTGGTCTCTTACAGGCCCTTTGAAATAATGTCTACAAACTGGTAGGCTCTGCTTCTTTTAAGTTCTTTAAAGTCTGCCCTTGAAACATCATTTATAAGTGGATAGATATCTCATTTGCTAAGACTGCTTGCTTCATACACTTGACAATCTGAGTTCAGATCCTAACACACTTTAATAAGGTATGTGTGGTAACACATGATCAGCTGTAGCCCTAGTGTTGCAGGAGCCAGAGATAGAAGTTGTCTATCTGCCAGCCTAGTTAGAACAACAGCAGTGACAAAAACAAGCAAACAGAAAAAAAAAACATATTTACATTCATGGTCAAGAAAATGAACATGCCTCAAAAGAATAAGGTGGAGAATGGCAAAGGAGAACAGCTGATCGCTTCTAATGCTCCCAAACTTGTATGCAGGTATGTTTACATGTTCATATATGCACATGGCACCACCAAATATACACAAACACAAGAATGCAAGAAATGCAAGAAATTTTCTTTATCCACTGAATAGATCATATGTTGATAAACCTTTATTAAGACAGACAGACCCTGATTTCTGTGAAGCTTTCTGGGATGCCAGGGAGAGTGGATACCATAAATTCCATTCCCTGTGTTACCCTCACATAGCAATACAATTAAGGGAGGTTCTTAGATATCATTTGATTATAGTCCTGAACTTACAGAAATGGATCTCATGTGGAGGCTGCAATATCAATTATGAAATCACGGCTTTTTGCCACTGTACTCTATTATTGTGTTCTAAGAATATATTCTTCTAATCCTTTTGAAAATGCAAGAAATTTTCTTTATCCACTGAATAGATCATATAAAAAAACCAATACATTCAGTTTCCTGCAGCCAAATATGTCATAATATACAATTTCCTCCCTCCATATCTGGTTCTTTTTTTCCTAGCATATCTTCTTCTAAGAAAAGCATGTGTCTCTCACTCTCTGATCAAGATGTTTAGCTTCTCAGCTTGAGCTTGGGGAGCTGCAAACACAGAGGCTTGGAAAACATTATCCTGGATAACCTCCACAAACAGATTCCTGATACAGCCCACCCCATATGTGGGAGTGTGTTAAAACAGTGGGTGATATAAAAAGATTGCATTGTAGGGTAAAACATATGTCTGAGCTGTTCTTTAAAACTGAAAGCCTTTATATCTGGCGCCAGGAAAGCCATGGTAAAGGCAATGTCCACACAATCTGAGTACCAGTGTCTAAGTGAGAAATGCTACAATATGGTATTCTCCCTTCAGGTGAGAAATGGACTAAAATCAAAACAGAGTCATTTATGCTATATATTTTTTAAAATTTATCATATTTTGCCCTGTTTCATGGAAGAAAGGAAAGATTGTATTTTATGTATTAGTTCCTGAATAAATATTCTTTAAATATTCCACCCTTTCACTATTTCTTCAGTCCTATGAAACTCTTGTGGTTCTTCAAGTGTGCCCAATACACAATATCACAGTACAGAGTTCAACTTTGTAGAAATGAAATTTCTAGTTTTGTGAGATCATTCGCCTGTTAAAAGTCCTTGCTGTTCTGATGGTTTAT